CAGCTCCAGACACGGACGCCAGTGAGTGTCAGGCGGCCCTCAGTGAAGTGCCGTGGGCCTGGCCTGTGGTTTTCTTCCTTCTTCAGGTCACAGGGAGCCACTGGCGACTCGATCTTAGGCGTGTCGTTTCTGGTTGGCACATGCGCCCGTTAAGGTGTAATTCTTCAGTTTAGGTAAATTGATGGCTTTTTACAACAAAATGAAAAGGTAACACTGGCCTTTCTACATCGTGTTACCTTCGCACGCACACACGCGCGTGCACACGTGTGCGAGGATGTGGGGTTGGTGTAAGAACACTGGCACGCTGGCACTTTTTAAAACTCCACAAGTGAGCTGCTTACTCTTGTCAGGATTGAGTCTTTTAAGCTCTCTACTTACTGTGAGAAGTTTTTTCCGTTGTAAAATTACGTGATCGTGTTTAAAACACTGTCGTTTGGAATGTGAACAGACAGACCGAGGTGAAATGCTCGCCGCTCGAGCTAAGTGCGGTCAAAGGCTCGCGTGCCCTCAGCCAGGCGTTTTCATTTCAGCCTGTTGCCACCCGTGTCGTTCTGTTCAACCTCCGTCCCGAGCAGGGGCTTCTCGGAAGAACCGCCGGCGACGTCTCCGACCAACGTGACAGAGGCTGAGGCGGCGTGCGTGGGTTTTCATCCTGTCTTGTCGCCTGCCTCTCCCTGAGTGGAGACGTCCGGCGGTCAGGCCTGGGAGCACCGCCAGAAAGATGGACGGACGCGTGGTTCTTTGGGATGTCAGTTTTCTCTTAACGCAAACACCCGAGACTCCCAGACCAATCTTAAGTGTATATATTCTAAAATGCCTCCTTTTTTATGTGGTCGTTTGTTGCCTTCTGAGTTGAGAGAACAAAATGAATAAAGTAAATGTTAGCTGTAGCCTAGTTTTTTTGTCTGTTTTTGCTGTTTCAGAAATGACAGCACGTGCGTTAGTCGCCACACGGAGATGAAGCCACCGTGGGGGGCCGAGGAGGCTCCTGTATTCACCCTGTGTCCCGGTCGCGGGCTGCCCACTGCACTGCCTTCCTGCACCCTGCACCCCTCAGCACCCCCACAAACACCTCCCAGTGAAACCCGCTGGTGGCCTGGCTGGAGGTCCCTTCTTGTGTCACTGCCTTGTTTAATCACTTTTGGAGGCTTCTGTGCATGGGTCAGGGCCCTTACCTTGCTGCTTCTCCACGTTTGTTCCGTAAATCGTCTTGGGAACGAGCAGCTTCCTGCCCCAGCCAGGGGCCCCGTCACCAGCCGGAGCCGTCACCTGGCCGGGAGCCCCTTCACCCTGCCGGGAGCCCCTTCAACCGTGTAGGAGCCCTGTCACCCTGGGGGGAGGAGCCCTGTCACCCAGCCAGGAGCCCCCTCACCCAGCCAGGAACCCCCTCACCCTGGGGGGAGGAGCCCTGTAACCCAGCCAGAGGCCTGTCACCCAACCAGGAGCCCCGTCACCCAGCCAGGAGTCCCGTCACCCATCCAGGAGCCCCCTCACCCGGCCAGGAGCCCCCTCACCCTGGGGGAAGGAGCCCTGTAACCAAGCCAGAGGCCTGTCACCCAGCCATGAGCCCCGTCACCCTGGGGGAAGGAACCCTGTAACTCCCCTCCCCCTTTGCTCTTTGCTCAGTCTGGTTGGTCCCTGGGGGCCGCACAGATCCACTGTGGGGACAGAGCAGAAGACAGTCCAGAAGTCCACCTCCTTCTCTGTTTCTCATCATCTCTTCTCACCTTCCCAGCACAGCCACCACGGCCATCCGCCCACCCGCGGCTCGCGGTCTCCCT